CCCCCGCCCTTGCCCTAAGTCGGGCATGTCCCTCTACAGGAACGATACTCAAAAATAGTGAGACGATGTTTTGAATATTTTTGACTACTTTGAACGATGTGTTTCCTATTTCTGTATTTTTCGTCCAAAATCCGCCTGTAGAGGGGGGGCACGCCCGACCGAACCCTTGCCCTTCCCCGCACAGAGAGGCCGGGCGCGGCAACCAACTCAAATGAGCCAGTGTCGAGAATGCCGCCGATCAGCTGGTGGCCGATCACCAAGTACGAGATGTACTGGGCACCGCAGGGTGCGCGAGCTGGAGTCGCGATGTGTGCACGGTGGGCAGTCGATGGAATCCCACAAGCTCCCTGGGGAGGAGGAGGAGGAGGAGGAGGAGGAGGAGGATGAGGAGGAGGAGGATGAGAAGGAGGAAGAGGAGGAGGAGGAACATCAACCAGGGTGAACGCGCGGCTCCTCCCGAGGAGGAGGAGGAGGAGGAGGAGGAGGAGGAGGAGGAGGAGGAGGGAGGAGTCGAAGGAGGAGGAGGAGGAGGAGGAGGAGGAGCAGGAAGAGACTTGAAGAAGGAGGAGGAGGAGGAGGAGGAGTCGAAGGAGGAGGAGGAGGAGGAGAAGGATCAGGAGCAGGAAGAGAAGGAGGAGGAGGAGGAGGAGGAGGAGGAGGAAGAGGACTTGAAGAAGGAGGAGGAGGAGGAGGAGGAGGAGGGGGAGGAGGAGGGGGAGGGGGAGGAGCAGCAGCAGAATGCCCTGGGCAGACACGGCGAGGATCGCGCGGGCATGGCGTCCTCGATGATACCACCAGCCCGCCAAGAACGGTCAGTACTGGTGGCGGCGGTGGCCTGCCTGGCATCGGTGGTCTCGTGCGCAGTGCCCGAAGCCCAAGGGGCTATCACCAAGCTTCTCCCCTGAGTAGCCCGACGCGCACGTTTTGTTTCTCTGCGGCGCCCAGGGTCCAAGGTTGAGCTACAACAGGGCTGCTGTCAAGCGAATCAGAACCAGGCACGGCGGCGGACAAAAGGGCGGGGAGGAAGGGAAGAGAAGACCGCGGGCAGCTGGAGCGCCCTCAGAGCATGAAGCACGTCGGGTTTTGCCCGACCAGGCCCAGGTCCTCGAAGCTATCATTGCGTCTACTGGGGCAACCAAAAGGTACTGATACAGTGCGGGCGCGGCCGCAAGAAACCCTCGCAAGAAACCCAACCCTGAAAACCCGCGCGCGCGGTGCACCTGAGGGGAGACCAGGAGCACCCTGAACGCAGCCGCTCCTTGTCAGGCTGCGGGAAGCTACCGCGCGGAGCGCGGAGCTAAGAAACCCAGGATACCCTGACGAAAAACAGATGGTTTCTTGATGAGCGCCCCCACTTCTCCAAGAGTGCGTTCTGACCAGAAGTTCGAGGCGAATCCAGCGTCGGCGACGAGGGCCTCCCAGAGGGCCCCAAAAGCAGATCAGTCGCGGATCGTGGCGGCTGCTCTGCCTTCGTGGGAACCACGTCATTCACGAGGACCCTCGTGAATGACGTGGTACCCACGGGCACCCTCGTGCCCTCGGGGGTGCCCTCGTGGGTATCTCGTGGGCATCCCAGAGCAATAGCCGATACCCCTGGAACGACCGCATCTGGCTTCAAAGCAGCACCCAGGGAATATTGCTGCCTGGGTTGCGTGGCTCCGCAGGACGATATGAGCAGCCCAAACACAGAAATACTGGATTCCTCCCCTCCCTCCTCCTCCCCACCACCACCAGCACCCGCCCTGATCCTCTTTTTCCTCCTCCTCCTCCTCCTCCTCCTCCTCCTCCTCCTCCTCCTCCTCATCATCATCATCATCATCATCATCATCATCATCATCATCATCATCATCATCATCATCATCATCATCATCATCATCATCATCATCATCATCAGCAGCATCAGCAGCATCATCATCAATCATCATCATCATCATCATCATCATCATCATCATCATCATCATCATCATCATCATCATCATCATCATCATCATCATCATCAGCATGATCATCATCAGAATCATCATGAGCATCATCATCATCATCACCATCATCATCATCATCATCATCATCATCATCAGCATCGTCATCATCATCATCATCGTCAGCATCATCATCATCATCAGCAGCATCATCATCATCATCATCATCATCATCATCATCGTCATCATCATCATCATCGTCAGCATCATCATCATCAGCAGCAGCATCATCATCATCATCATCATCATCATCATCATCATCATCATCTTCATCATCATCATCAGCATCGTCATCACCCTTCACCATCACCACCACCACCACCACCATCGTCATCATCATCATCAGCATCATCAGCATCATCATCATCATCGTCATCATCATCATCAGCATCAGCATCAGCATCGTCATCATCATCAGCGTCATCATCGCCAGCGTCATCATCATCATCTCATCATCATGACCACCAACATCACCAGCATCCCCACCACCATCAACATCATAGTTATCAGCATAGTAATCATCATCATCATCACCATCATCAGCATCAACATCATCATAATCATCAGGATCAACTTTGACATGGTGGTCATCATTACCGCCATCAGCACCTTCTTCTTCTTCATCACCATCAGCATCATCATCGTCCTCAGCCGCATCGGCAGCATTGGCATCGTCAATATCATCAGAATCGTCGTCACCATCGTGATCACCATATCATCATCACCGTCATCAGCATCAGCATCATCATCACCATCAGCATCCCCATCATCATCAGCATCAGCATCAGCAGCATCATCAGCATCGTCGTCATCACCATAATCAGCAGCATTATCGTCATAATCGTCATCACCATGATCAGCATCAGCATCATCATCAGCTCCATCAGCATCATGAGCATCATCATCAAAATCCGCATCATTATCATCAGCATCATCAGCATCGTCGTCATCATCATCAGCATCATCATCACAATCAGCATCCCCATCATTATCAGCATCAGCATCAGCAGCATCATCAGCATCGTCGTCATCACCATAATCAGCAGCATCATCGTCATCATCGTCGTCATCATCATCATCAGCATCATCACCAGCTCCATCAGAATCATCAGCATCATCATCAAAATCAGCACCATCATCATCAGCATCATCATCGTCATCATCATCAGCATTGTCATCATCGTCAGTATCGTCATCAGTAGCATCATCATCATCAGCATCAGCTCCATCTGCATCATCAGCATCATCAGCATCACCAGCAGCACCATCAGCATCATCATCATCATCATCATCATCAGCACCATCAGCAACATCGTCATAATCACCGTCATCATCAGCATCATCAGCAGCATCCTCATCAGCACTAGCACCATCATCAGCATCATCATCAGCATCATCAGCATCAGAATCACAATATATATTTATACATCAGCATTTTCATGACCACACCCACCATAATCATCATCATCATCAGCATCAGCATAATCTTCATCGTGATCGCCGTCATCATCATCATCATAATCAGAGCACCATCGTCATCATCAGCATCATCAGCATCACCATCATCATCATCAGATCACCAGCATCATCACCATCACCATCGTCATCATCATTACTATCATCAGTATCATCAGTATCATCATCATCATCATCATCATCATCATCATCATCATCATCATCATCCTACTCATCATCCGCATCGTCTCTCACCTCCACTGGTCGTCGTCGGCATCGTCATCGTCATCGTCGTCATCGTCATCGTCAAAATCATCATCAGCAGCAGCAACAGCAGCAACATCATCATCATCATCATCGTCTCATCATCATCATCAGCAGCTTCATCATCATCATCATCATCATCATCATCATCATCAGCATCATCATCATCATTAGCTTCAGCGTCATCATCGTCATCAGATCATCAGCAGCAAAACCATTAGCAGTAACATCATCACCATCATCGACATCATCAGCATCACTATCCCCATTATCATCATCATCATCATCATCATCAGCAGCATCATTAGCAGCATCATCATCATCATCATCATCATCATCATCATCATCATCATCATCATCATCATCATCATCATCATCATCATCATCATCATCATCATTATCATCGTACGAATCGAGATCAACATCATCTGCATCATCAGAATCCGCAACCTCATCGTCGGCATCATTATCGTCATCAGCATCCTCATCAGCACCATCATCACCATCATCAGCAGCATCAGCTGCATCATCATTATCAGCAGCAGCATCAACATCAGCATCAACATCATCATCAACATCATCATCATCCTCATCAACATCATCATCAACATCAGATTCGACATGGTGGTCATCATTACCGTCATTTGCATCGTCTTCTTCATCATCATCAGCATCATCATCATCGTCCTCAGCCTCATCGGCATCATTGGCATCGTCAATATCATCAGAATCGTCGTCATCATCGTGATCACCATATCATCATCATCACCATCATCATCAGCATCATTATCATCACCATCAGCATCACCATCATCGTCAGCGTCAGCATCAGCATCAGCAGCATCGTCGACATCACCATAATCAGCAGCATCGTCATCATCAGCATCATCATCCTGCTCATTCTCATCATCATGATCGTCATCAATCCTATCTTCATCATCAGCAGCATCAGAATCATCATCAGCATCATCATGAACACCATCTTCATCACCATCCACTTCAGGGAAATGTTGTCGTTAGTTGATATCAGCGACATCATGATCGTCATCGTCATCCTCATCATCGATATACTAGGGTGCGTGTTCTCTCTCGTCGTAGCTCGAGAGAAGCTCCCACCGACCAGAGCCTCCCGCACGGCTCCACAAGCCCGTATGCGCCTTGGAAGTGTGCGAAACCCTAACCCCAGATGATCGCAAAAAGCAATCCGGAGGCTGCCTCCCAACGGCATGTGCCAAGGTCTAAAAGAGGACCCGGATGAGGAAGCGAAGTCCCAACGGCGTCTGCTCATATTCCTGGTTCTAAGGGGATTGTAAAAAACTAGAATGCAGTGACGACAAAGACACTACAATCTATCACATAATACCGATTTCCCTCTCCTCGCCCACCCATCTTCGACCAGGAACAAGGAACATGTATGTGTACACCATGTGTATGTGCGCTTATTCTCCTGATCTCCCACCCGCCAGGCCTGCGCATCCCCAAAGTTCACCATGGACTGCCGGAAAGGCTCGTCCTCGTCCAGCATGAAATCCCCAGAGCTTTCCGCCGCGCGCGCTGCTGATGCAGCGGCCAATGCTGCGCGGCGCTCTTTTTCCCCGCCCCCCGGAGAGAGAGGAAATATGCATATCCTTTCTCCTCCTGGTCCTTCGCCTCCTCCGTCTCCACCTCCACCTCCTCCGCCTCCACAGCCTCTCTCTTCCTGCTACTACTCCTCATTCCAGGCCTCCTCCTGCTCCTCCTCCTCCCCCTCCTCCTCCTCGTCGTCCTCCTCCTACTCCTCCTTCTCATCCTCATCCTCACCCTCCTCATCCTCATCCTCATCATCATCAGCATCAGAATGAGCATCAGCATTTACATCATCAGAACCCTGATCGAGAGAGCGTGATCCACCGCCGCTTTACTGTGGAAAATTCCCCCCCTCTTCCTCCAAAACCCGGGGGTCCCCCCCCCTTCCAGAAATCCCCCCCCCTGTTGAACCCCCCCCTTCCTCCCGGCAAACCCTCCTCCTAACCCCCCCTCCGCCCCCCTCCGGAAAACCGGGAGGGGGTCACTACCGGCTCGAACCCCCCCCCCCTCCAAAAAACTGGAGGGGGTCACTACCGGTTCGAGCCCCCCCCCCTCCAGAAAACATGGGCGGGTCACTACGTTCGAACCCCCCCCCCTCCAGAAAACGGGGGGGGGGTCACTACCGGCTCGAACCCCTCCCCCCCCCGCACGCTCACCGCTGGCAGACGACTCCCGGGTCCCTACCACCGTCCGCACCACATCCCCCACTGCTGTCCCCAGCACCACTGTCCTCACCACCACTGTTCACACTGTTCCCACCACCGTCCCCACTGTCCTCACCAGTGCCCCCACTACTGTCGCACAGTTCCCACTGTCCCCACCACTTTTCCCATCACAGTTCCACTCTCCCCACTTTTCCCACGGCCCCAACCACTGTCCCACTGTCCCACTGCCCCCGCCGCTGTCCCACTGAGCTGTCCCACTGTTCCCACCAATGTCGCCACTGTCCCCACCACTGTCCCCACTCTACCTCTGTCCCATTGTCCCACCGCCGTCCTCGCCACCGCCCTCACCACTGTCCCCAACACCACTGTCGCCACCAATGTCCCACCGTCCCCACCACATTCCCACTGTCCCCACACCACTGTCCTCACCACCACCATCCCCACCACTGTCCCACAGTCCCCACCACTGTCCCACTGTCCCCACTGTTCCCACCACTGTCCCCACCGGTGCCCCCACCAGTGTCTCACTGTCCCCACTCTCCCCACCGTTGTCCCACCACGGTCCCACTCTCCCCACTTTCCCCACTTTCCCCAAGGTCCCCACCACTGTCCCGCTGTGCTCACTGTACCCACCACTGTCCCACTGGCCCCGCCGCTGTCCCTCTGTCCTGTCCCACCGTCCCCACTGTCCCCACTACTGTCCCACTGTCCCCACTGTCCCCACCACTCTCCCCACTGTACTACTGTCCCGCCACTGTCATCACCACCGCCTTCACCACTGTCCCCACCACTACGTCCCCACCACTGTCCCACTGTCCCCACCGCTGTCCCGCTGTCCCCTCACCACTGCCCCCACCACCACCGTCCCCACCACTGTCCGCACCACTATCCCACTGTCCCCGCACCGAGGTACCCACCACCACCGTTCCCACCACTGTCCCAGTATCCCCACCATTGTCCATCTGTCCCGAGGAGCAGGAATCGTTTGCTGGCGGCGAAGGGGGGAAGTTCGAACCGGCAGTGACCCCCCCCTGGTTTTCGAGGGGGGGGTTCGAACTGGTGGTGATCCCCCCCTTTTCATAATGGACTTGGGGGGGGGGCGGGGGGAGGGGTTCGAACCGGTAGTGACCCCCCCCGTTTTCGAGGGGGGGGGACGGGTTGGGAACCCCCAGTGAGCCCCCCTGGTTTTCCGCCAGCAGCGGTAGAACACGCTCTTTCTCATCGTCAGAAACATCATCATCATCATCATCATCATCATCATCATCATCAGCAGCAGCAGCAGCAGCAGCAGCATCAGCAGCAGCAGCAGCAGCGGCAGCAGCAGCACCATCATCATCATCATCATCATCACCATCATCATCATCATCATCATCATCATCATCATCAGCAGTATCATCAGCATCATCATCAGCATCATCATGTTCATCTTCATCACCATCATCATAATCATCATGATCAGCAGCAGCAGCATCATCATGACTATGATAATCGTCCTCTTCCTCCTCTTCATCCTCATCCTCACCCTCAACCTCATCATCCTCATCCTCATCCTCATCCTCATCCTCATCCTCCTCCTCATGATCATCCTCATCATGATCCTCGTCATCCTCAGCATAATCGTCATCATCAGCAGCATCATCAGCATCATCAGCATCATCATGAGCACCAGCATCATCATCATCATCATCATCTTCAACATCATCATCACCCTCATCATCAACATAATCAGCATCAACATCATCATCAACATCATCATCATCATCCTCATCATCCTCATCATCATCAACATCATCACTTGCATCATCATCATCATTTTCATCAGCAGCAGCAGAGCAGCACCAGCATCAGCATCAGCATCACTATCATCAGCAGCATCATCGTCATCATCATCATCATATGTATCGTCATCACCACCACCACCATCGAAATCAGAATCACAGTCGTCGTCATCGGAATCGTCGTCGTCATCAACATCAGCATGATGATGATCATCATCAGCATCAGCATCATCATAATCATCAGCAACGTCGTCAATATAATCATCAGCACCATCATGAGCATCATCAGAATCATCATCACCATCATATTTTCGTCGTCACCACCGTCGTCATCGTCATCGTCAGTATCAGCATCGGCAACATCAGCATCAGCATCATCATCAGCAGTATCGCCATCGCAAACATCGTCATCATCAGCATCAGCATCGTCATCGTCTGCAGCAGCAGCATCATCACCACCATCATGATTATCATCATCTGCATCATAATCAGCATCATCACCGTCGTCGACATCGTCGTCATCAGCATCATCATCATAATCAGCATCATTAGCATCAGCATCAGCATCATCATCAGCATCATCGTTATAAGCATCGTCATCGCCATCGTCAGTATAATCATCAGTAGCATCAGCATCGTCATCACCAGAATCATCACCAGCATCGTCATCGTAATCATCGTCAGCATCATCATGTCAGCCAGCGTTGACTCCAAATAGACAGGAGGACAGGAGGAGGTCGAAAGGAGGATGGGAGGAGGACAAAAGGAGGACGGGAGCAGGACGGGAGGAGGACGGGAGAAGCAAAATCAAGCAAGCGCAAGCAAGCAAGCGGAAGCAAGCAAGCGCAAGCGAGAGCAAGCAAGCAAGAGCAAGCAAGCGAAAGCCAGCGATCAAGTGCAAGCAAGCAAGCAAGAGCAAGCATAGGACTCGCCATTGGAAATAGCTGGAGGGTGCCATTGGAAATAAGGGGGATGTCATTGGAAAAAGGGAGGGGGAGGGGGGGGGCATTGGAAATAAGGGGGGGGCATTGGAAAAAGGGGAGGGTGCTAAAGACCAATTACTTATGATGAGCTAGGACTCCTATAGGGCAAGCCTATTTGGAGAATCACCATCAGCATGGGCATCATCAACCACATCATGATCAGCATCAGCACCATTATCATGAAGATTGTCATCAGCATCATCGCCATCGCCATCGCCATTAACAGCAGCATAACCAGCAGCATCAGCAGTACCGTCGTCATCAGCATCAACATCAGCATCATAATCATCATCCCCAACATCAGCATCCTCATCATCATCATCACCACCATCAACATCGTCATCGTCATCATTATCATCATTACCGGTGTCATCGTCGTCGTCATCGCCACCAAAATGAGAATCATCACAACCACCGCCACCACCGCCACCATCATATCTGCTTCGCCTCCCACTCCCCTCCTTTATTCCGTCGTTTCCTACGCGTCCTCCGCTGCCATGATCGTGCTGATTCTCCCGCTCCCCCCGACTCCTCATCTCATCCTCCTCATCCTCCTCCTCCATTCATATTCCTTTCAAAACAACTCCTCCCTGTCGCACACCCAGACGCGTCGGCAGGGCGGGCTGGGACTTCGCCTGAGACGTCCTCGCCATTTAAGACCCTGAGGCTTGAAATTTGTAGCAGATTCACGGATGGAGGGCGGGTCCTTGTCAAAATCTGACTCTCGCCTTGTCGCCGCGCCCAATCGTCTTAGAAGTCCCACCAGCCCTCTGGGCGTAGGTGATCTAACGATCGGAGGTTGGGGGGTGAGATCGCAGTGGAATAGAGACGCCCAACGAGGAATTCGTTTCGTTTCGTTCGTGTCGTGCGTGCGGGCGAGGCGAAGCTGCGTGGGAGCGCGAGAGGAATGAAACCGCCGTTGCTAGGGCGAGGTAAAGACAAATGATTCTCCCCAGCCCGCCCGCCCATCCGGCGGTGGCTCGCGAAGTCCCGCGGTGGCTCGCGGTGTCCCGCGGTGTCCCGTGGTGTCCCGTGGTGTCCCGTGGTGTCCCGTGGTGTCCCGTTGAGTGAGATCGATAGTGAGATCGACAGTGAGATCGATAGTGAGATCGATAACGAGATCGATGTGGTGCTCCGAGGTGTCCCGTGGTGTCCCGCGGTGTCCCGCGGTGTCCCGTGGTGTCCCGTGGTGTCCGCCGTTGCTAGGGCAAGGTCAAAACAAATGATTATCCCCCGCCCTCCCGGCCGTCCGGCGGTGGCCCGTGGTGTCCCGCGGTGTCCCGTGGTGTTCTGTGGTGTCCCGTGGTGTCCCGTGGTGTCCCGTTGAGCGAGATCGATAGTGAGATCGATAGTGAGATGGATAGTGAGATCGACAATGAGATCGAATGTGAGATCGATAATGAGATCGATGTGGTGCCCCGAGGTGTCCCGTGGTGTCCAGTGGTGTCCCAAAAAATGAGATCGATAGTGAGATCGATGGTGAAATCGACAGGTGTCCCGTGGTGCCCCGTTGAGTGAGATCGATAGTGAGATCGAATGAGTCAGATGTTGGTTCTCCCCCCGTTCCCCCTCCCACACAGAACCTGCTTATCACCCGAAGGGTGGTCGTATACGTAGGTATCTGTCTCTCCTCTTCCAAAACCATCTTCCCATGGGGGAGGGCTTCCCTCCCCGAAGGAAAGAGGGAGGGGAGGGGGAGGGGGAGGGGGAGGGTACCCCTTCGAGGGGTACCCTCCCCCTCCCCTCCCTAAGGTTTTTCTTCGGGGGGGCGTCGCGATGTGTCATAGGGTCTGTATTGGCCCAAGATGGCTCCAGGAGAGCCTCCGATGCTCCAAGATGGCCCCCAAGGCAGCTCAAGATAGACGGAGATGGCTCAAGATAGCTTCCAATATACCTCCAAGAGGCCCGACGGGGGCCACAAGACTGTTCCAAGTGCTCTCGGAGCCCCCTCAGGACCCCCCAGAGAGGCTCACGAGCGCCCTATCAGCGTCCCATGAGGGCCCCACGAGGCGGCTTGCCTCCTCCTCCCTTCACCTTCTCCCCTTGCCCTCCCCACCCGCGGGACCCAGGGATGGCCCGAGGAGGCCCTCCAAGGAAACCCCCCTGCTCCCAGAGAGCTCCCGGTTCGTCCTGGTTCCCTGCTGTATTTCTATGTGTGTATATACATATATATGTGTATAGGTATATGTATATATGTGTGTGTGTCTCTTCGTTCCTTTCCCCGTAAGCTCTCATGGGTGGGGTTTCTGAATGGGCTGGTGGGGATACACGAAGCGTGAATCCTTTGCAACTGTTCCATTGTTGATATAAAACGTTCCAGGAGTTTAGATGATTCGTATGGTCGGAGTCCCAGGAATGGTGGTCTGACACGAATCAGGATTTCAAGGACGCAACCAGTCACGTTTATACGCGGTGTTGGAGTCCCAGGAATGGTGTTTTGGCACGACGTAGGACTGTCAGGGCGCAACGATCACGTTGATGCGCGGCGTTGAAGTTCTAGGAACTGCGTTTTAGCGCGATTGAAGATTCTCAGACGGTTGCCTTCTATGAGCCAACTTCCCGCAATGATAATGAGTTCTGTCAGGGACCTGTAAAGAGGGAAACTTGAAGGGTGTATTGCACATCGTTGATGCGACGTTGATCCTCTTCCGATCATCATCACCATAATCAGCATCATCAGCAGCAGCATCATCATCACCACCATCATCAGAATCACAATCTTCATCATCAACAGCAGCATCATCATGTGTTGTGTTTCCTGCTCCACCTACTCCTCCTCCATCATATCCTCTTCCCCCTCCTCTCCTCCTCCTCCTCCTCCTCCTCCTCCTGCTCCTCCTTCTCCTCCTCCTCCTCATCATCATACCCCTTCCGCCTCCTCCTCCTCCTCCTCCTCCGCCTTCCATGGGCATCCCCCCACCCCCTTAGTTGACCCCTCTTTCCTCCTACTTGAGCTCCTCCTGCTCATCCTCTCCCCTCTCGTCTCCCCTCTCCTCCTTCACGCCCGCTTCGTGATCACTTCCTGCCCCCATCCTTCAAGATTGCATCCCTCGTCCGAGCTGCAGTTCTGATGGCACCATGAATGCAGATCTGGCAGTAGTGCAGACACGATTCGATCCTCTCGATCGACTCACTCATCGGGCCTGATGATGTATCAAGCAAGCGCAGGCAAGGCAACAGAGTCGAATGTGGACAGAAGCAGAGTCGTCCTCGAGGCATGGAATCTCGCGGGCACACCGAAACAACGAGATGATTGGCCAATGATCACAAAATGAGGGCTCGCGTGACTGTGCACGTGTTCACTTCCACACATCTGCCATCGACCTACTGCTTCGATTGTGTACATAGTTCTGCGCCGCGAATCCTTCGGACACTCGCACGCACTCGTGCGAGGGCATCGCTGCTTCCCCCTCCCCCCGCGGCCCGACGGCGCCTTGCTCGCTGGAAAAAGCAAGACCCGAGTCGGCCGAGATCATGTCCTGCAGGCCTATGTCCATGGTGCCCGAGTCTGCCCCGCCGTCGAGGTTGTCGGCGCCAGAGCCCGCGTCGGCGTCCGCGGCCACATCGGCCGACAGTGACCCGGAGCCTTCAGACTCCACCTCGGACTCCGACTCCAGCTCCAGGTGGGACTGGGGGGCCGCGTGGCTTCTTGGCTCGAGGGCGGGCATGCGCCGTCCGCCAGGGCGAGGAGCACTGCGAGGAGGAAAGAAAGGCAGGTGCAGGCAAAAAGAGAGGTGGAAAGCGAGAGGCCATTGAAACTTTGCCGCGGGGCCAAATCACAGGGAAATCAGACCGACACCGAAGACGCATATCCGTCAAGGCGGCGAAGCCGCGTGCCCAAGTCGGAAGGGCAGTGGCCGAGGCGACGGAAGGTCGGACCGCCAGAAGTGAACGGGGGCGAAAGGCTGGGAAGGAGAGGGGGAGGAGGCTAAGGAAGCGACAACGAGAGGGAGAGAGGGACGAGGCAACCTGGGTCCGCTCGCTCCGCATCTGACATATCACCACTCCCACCTGCGAAACTGGGTGTGCTCCCTTTTCCCCGGTCCGCGCAGCGGCGGGCTGTGTCGGCAACCACTGCGGGGAGAGTTGCAATTGTCCTCTCCAAAGGCATTTCCACATAGTATCACAGATTGGGAAATCATCTGGATTGGACCTCAACGTAGGCAAGACGAGTTGATTGAGAATCAGATCGGACGACACAGTGGTGGGGCCCAATGGAGAACCAATTGAAACAAAGGACAGCGTCGTTTATCTTGGGGGTCTTTTGAGCGCAGACGGCAAGCCAACAGCTGAAGTAACGCGGCGTCTCGGGGAGGCGAAAGGGGCATTTGATAAGCTTTGCGCAGTATGGAGCCACGCGAACATGACGAAGCAGCATAAGATACGAGTTCTTCAGGCATGTGTGTTCTCGAAATTGTTGTATGGGTTGGAACCTTGCGTGCTGCTGAAGGCCAACCATGACAGACTATACGGTTTTCAAGCCAAGTGTATTCGCAGAATATGGAAAATCCAGCCAGCTTTCCTGTCCCGAATCAGCAAGGCACGCGTGCGCTCTGAAGCGCACGTCCGTCCATTATCATCTCTTCTATTGGAGCGACAACTGAAGTACTGTGGGAAATTAGCCAGAGCTCCCCTGCAGTCGCTTCCGAGAGCGATGGTTTTCCAGCCATGCCAGAATCTTTTGATGCCGCGAGACTGGCGCTCATCGAAAAATAGAGGGAGGCCGCATTTGCAATGCACTGCGTATATGCACGCCCGCGCGATGGGTGTTGCAGGAGACGACCCGGACCGCCTGCAAGTCTTGTTACAATCCCCTCAAAGTAGTTGGGACGCAGCTGTCAATGAATACTGGAACTCTTTAGTGTGACGTTGTTGTGTTTCCCCCCCTCTCTCCCCTCTCCCCGCCCTCCTCCCTCCCTCCTGCTCGCCCCCTCCTGCACGCGAGCGTTGCTGATCACCCTCGCGCGCCACTTGCACAAAGGCTGCCGGTGGTCGAGCTCCGAGGAACGGTAGCCGCTCCCGGACATGTGTATGTAGTTTTTCTTTTGCCGATGCGCCGTCCAGGCGCGGCTCTTGAGTGGAGTAGTGGAGCTCATCGGTCTGGGGACCAAATCAATTGAAGCAGGTTTAACTGAAAGCGGATAGTGGGAAGCATGTCGATGATGATAAGGACAGGAGCAAGAGAGGGTCATTTTTGGAGACCAATTGCCACACCACACAGCCCTCCCCATTGCGCTGAAACTCATTATGTTCGCAGAGCCGAGCATCGAATCGGACCCTGTTCCTCAGATTGCACTGTCAGTGACTGACCGATTGTCAAGTGGAAGGAGAAGGACGACGGCGGGGAGGCCTGGAGTAGAATAGGTAAGCCTTCATCGGAGCCTCTGTGGACCTCCGCGGCCCTATACCAAAGACATGGTTGGATCCAGATGTCGTACACATTCCGTCCACATTTCGTCCAGACGTCAGCCAAATCCGACGAAATCCGGACGAAATCCCTCAACCAGCGAGAAATGTTGGGACCATCTGAGGCCCCCCTGAAGGACCACACAGAGTACGTAGGAGGTGGAGGTTTGGGAGATCCAATGAAGCATTCGTGGGGCCAGGAGCCGGGCGGGTCCAGCGAGAGACCCCCTGTCACCGACACTTTGGAGCCGAGCGGGCCACGGCGGCCGGGCACCACGGCGAGATGGCAGCTGCAACCGACGATGCGATGCGGATCCGTGACGAGTCGGGGATGGACAGACCCCCCTTTAGTAAAACGTGGTTTAGTGAAAACGACTTGAGGCCCAAACCTGGCGGGCGCAAGCCTGGAAAATGACGGCCACGGCGCCCTCTCGAGAACCGAAAACGGACAATTCACTAATCGACGTGTCACTGTTGGGGGTTCTGTCCATCCCCGAACGAGGGAGAGGTGATCCAACATCTGTGCACCAGGAGAGTTTTTCAGCTACCGAAACCTACCCCCACCAGCCATCCATTCTCCTCGGTCGATGGGAGGCGGGGGGGAGGATTCGGACTTCGCCACGTGTTCGACGAATTCCGAACCCTACCCCTGCCGCCCATCGAGTTGCCCGAATCGTTGATCGGCGATGGTAGGGTTCGGACTTCGCCGCTGACCAAGATCTGGGCACCGGGAGGAGATACACGAAAGCACAACTTCGATCAAAGGACTAGTAGACAGCCTCAAGCCCTCCTCTGGTGAGCCGACCTCAGCGGTCCCGCCAGGCTGCGCCGCCCATTGCTGTCGGGCTCCTGATCATCAGATTCGTCTCTCTCTCTCTCTGTCTCTCTCTTTCTCTCTATCCCTCTCCTCTCTCTCTTCCTGATCCTCATGTTCGTCTCTCTCTCTCTCTCCATCTCACGTTCAGAAAAGACGAGTCTCTCCTTTTTCGCGAAATTCCGGTCTTGCTCTCCGGTCGCGGTCATCACGGACTGCGCCAGGGGCATGGAAGGCACCCCCCCCACCCCTGATTCTTGTGCGGCACCTCCCGCCGATGCAAGGGAGGCCCGCGCAGCAGTTACGCCCCGCCAGGTCTGGACGGCACGCGGTCCGAACTGTTGCGCTCTCTATCTATATGTGTATATATCTAATATCTCTCTCTCTCTTCCGCTCTCTCTCTCTCTCTCTCCCTCTCTCTCTCTCAGACGATCGCAGGACGAAGAGAAAGTCGGGTAAGGATAGATCGGTAATCTCTGAGATCCGGCGGCTCTGGAGGACGTCTCGGCTCGGGCGTTCCGCACTTCTCAGAGCGTTCCAGTTCCGGAACGCTCTGGAACGGATCAATCCTCGTCCTAGCCCCGCCCGACTCTCTCTCTCTCTCTCTCTTTTCTCTCTCTCCCTCTCTCTCTGTCTCTCTCTCTCTCTCTCTTTCTACGCCTCAGGCTCTGCCGATGCTGCTCAGCCTACAGTCGAGGCGTGGACCTAAGGAACCCTAAATAAGGATCGAGGCCATTTCTTCCATAAGTTAAGCTTCGAACTCCGATCGAACACCGAAGGAAAACCTGAGGCGAGCTGCAAAACAACTTAGGAGCACTGAGCCCCTTCCAAACGAAAAGGGTTCCTTCTTCAGCGCCCCGACTGCAGTGCTGGTGATCCCCCTGCTTCGGCTGCTCCTCCTCGTCTCCAGAAGCGCTCCTGCAGAAGACAGGCGCCGTCGTCCAGCAGCTGCGCCCGTCGACCGACCCTCGCGTCCTGGGCGCGCCGGAGGGGGCAGCTCGAGGAGCCGGAGTGTCGTCGACAAGAGGAGGAGGAGGAGGAGGAGGAGGAGGAGGAGGAGGAGGAGGAGGAGAGAGGAGGAGAGAGGAGGAGAGAGGAGGAGAGGAGGAGGAGGAGGAGGAGGGGAGGAGGAGGAGGAGGAGGAGATGGAGGAGGAGAGAGAGGAGAGAGAGGAGAGAGGAGGAGAGAGGAGGAGAGAGGAGGAGAGAGGAGGAGGAGGAGGAGGAGGAGGAGGAGGAGGAGGAGGAGGAGAAGAGAGGAGGAGAGAGGAGGAGAGAGGAGGAGAGAGGAGGAGAGAGGAGGAGGGGGAGACGAGAAAGTCGTCGAGACCCGCTTCGAGCTTATTTCCCGGAGGGAGTGGGTGGAGGTGGGCGACGAGGAGGACCAGGAACAGGAAGAGGAGCAGGAGGGCGAAGAAGAGGACGAAAAGGAGAACAAGGAAGAGAAGGAGGAGCTCCCTCTGGGACCGCAGGAGCGCATCTGTTTCTAGCGGCGGAAGGGGCGATAGGAGAGGCAAGGGGAAGGGACTGGGGCCAATAGGTGTTCCTACCATGGGAGCCTCTCTCCTTCTGCCGTCTCAGCTAACGCGTTGGCCTCGCTGGTTTAGGGATCGGCTCTCGAGGCAAATCGCCTTGGGGACCTCCCTCATCGCACCGAATGAGGCTCATGGGCGTCCCCAGCGTCTTCGAAAACGTGCAGTGGGGGTCACGCCGTGGGGCACCCGACCTGAGAGAATGCGCACTCGGACGAGCAGGGACCTCCGCCTCCTCATCATCCCCACCCCCCCTGGTCCTCCTCCTCCTCTTCCTCCTCCTCCTCCTCCTCCTCCTCCTCATCCTGCTTCCCCTCTCCCTCGTCCTCCTTCTCCTCATCCCCTGAGCATTGTTAAACCGATCCCTATCCCCGCCAGCGTGGCGTGGGTTCCACTGGCCGAGTTACCCCCCGAGATCGGGGTATAGCCTATTCCCTTCGGGTCTCGAGGTGTACATCCTGAAATGGGGTGGCGGGGTGGTGGGGCTCGGGATGGGGATGGAGATGGGGATAGGGATCGGCTTGATGTTCCCCCTGTACTCTCACGCTCCTTCCCCTCCCCCATCCCCTTTACCCATCTTATCCTCATCATTCCCTTGCCATCGCTCGGACGTCCATTCCCCGTGCATGTTTCGGGTCCGTGCGCGTTTTTGTCCAAGGTGATCCGGGATGCTCCTCGATGGTCCTCGCCGAGAAAAATGCGCACGTCCGAGCGATACCAAGTCCTCGCCCTCTTCGAGGTGAGACACACCCCCATAGAGCTCCTGAGCGGCGCAGCACAGGCCTCTATCGCCCTCCGCCAAGACCACGAGCGGGTACCACCGCAGAAGCCGGAGGAGCACAGAGCGGCGATGCTCCATCCATGTACAAGAAATATCCACGCACCCTCCGATGGAGAGACAGCAGGAGCAGAGGAGGGGCAGAGGTTGAAAGCTTCTCCCCTCAGACCGTCGAAGCCCTCGTCCTCCTCCTCCTCCTCAGCCTCCTCCTCCGCCTACGCCTACGCCTCCACCTCCGCCTCCGCCTCCTCCTCCTCCTCCTCCTCCTCCTCCTCCTCCCC